GTGTCTCGGCCGGGGTCCCCGCTGCTTTCGTCGCAATAGGAACGGGATTCCCTCGGTAAGCCTCAGTTAATGCGGCCCCAATGTAGATGTGTTGGTTCGCTATAAAAAACAATAGCAGCAGTTAGCAAACATAGTAATGAACGTTCCAGAAGGCTGGAGATTTTAAACTTCAGACTTTGAGGAGTGGTCAGAAAGCCATTTTCTCAAGTAACAGCTGCAAATTTTGAAAATATATCGATACATATCCGTAGGTCCAGTGAAGTATCTGAGTGAATATATTGGATATATTCCTGCTCTTTAGAGTGCAGAGAAATGCATTTAAAATCTGTGATACTAACATTAGAAAATCTGACCATGAATTTTAATTTATTTTTTGGAGTTGGGGGGAAAAATCTTTTTAAAAATGAATTGGGTAAGAATCTACGTGACTTGTGGCTGAATTCATCTGTTTCTAAGTCATGTATATGAAAAATAAACGTGCGGAATATTCATGCAAGCTGAGGTTTTTTCATTAGTGGAAATTCAAATAGTGGGGGCGTGGGGTGTTTCACTTATGTCTTGGGTATGTTTGAAAGGGAGCGAAAAGGTAAGTGGCAATCATTTAGCTCATTGTAAGACTCATGACTGTACCTGCTCTCTGTATAAAGAACAGGAAACTTTGCATATTCTAATGCCTTGACTCAAATTAGCAGAGCTGATTCATTTAGGTTCAGTTGGGTTTTGCAATGTAAACCTGTAATTAAGGGACTTTCACGCAGGGAGGCTGTAGCCTGCCGCTGCAGCACCAGGCGACGCGGGGCTGCCCGCGGGGAGGTGCCAGCCTGGCGCGGCTGCGAGCTCCCGGCAGCACCGGCGCTGCTGCTGCCTGCTCCTGTCCCCACACGCTCCTGCTCCTGTCCCCCCAATGCACAGCCTCCGTTTGCCCCATCACTGATCTGCCCTGGAAATTCGTCAATCTCCTCCTTTTATTTGCACCTTTCTGAATGTAGTTTAGCCTTCTTTCTCTACTTTTTGGTTTGCTTTACCTTTGGAAAACCTTTCTCCTCTTCTTCCCCTTAGTTCTGACGGCTTTCTCAAATTAAAATCTCCGGGTCCCTTCATTCAGCCTCTGATGCACCCCAGAGAAGAGGGCTGCCCTCGCCTTCGCCCACTGCAGTTAAAATCCCTGGAGATCCCTCCGTAGGGCCTTACGTTAGCGCTGGCATCTCTCCCCAGGGCGGTCTTGGCGTCCCTCCCTAGGAAGGTCTTTGGACCATGTACCTACTGGGCGATGCTTGATGAGGGCAGCTTTTTCTAGTGCCACATCTGCTAAATAAGATGGGAAGATGCAGGATCTTAGAGCGAATTCCCGTGTTTATTTCAGAGGTAAGGTAGTCCATCATATTTATCCCAAACTTCGCTATCTTTCTAAATTTGACTTAGGAGATGGAAGTGTTAGCATTTTAATAAGGCTGCATATGATCAAGGTTGAAGATTCTCTTTATACCTTGGGTGTTTGGCGTGTTTCCCCTTCTTTCTGTCCGTGGTGGAAAGACCCCTCTGTTTTTGTTGGAAGAGGATAAAAATCCTAGACTGCCACGTCTCCAAACCCTCAGCTCCTCTGAAGTCCCAGGTGTGGGGTTAAGGGTATTGTAGGGCTCTGAGGTAAAGACAGATGGGTTGTGAATGTGTATGTGGGCTGTGTAGCCTAACGAAACCCTAATAACTAATAAATATAACCATTCTTTCTGAGCCTTCCTAAGCTAATATATCTCAAATAGAAATAAATTTTGGCTCCAGTCTCCTTTATACCTCTCACATCAACCAGAAAGCAGATCAGTCTGTTGTGTGCACCTGCAGGATGCAGAGGCTCTGCTCCCCTGCGTTTGCACGAGCAGAGCGGTATCCGTCGGCTGCTGGGGGTTTTGCTAGGAATACCTGACCTACACGCAGAACATTACTCATCCTTTAGTGCTTGTACACAACTCCCATTAAAAGTTATCTTTATTGAATTCTGTTCTAATGAGAAATTAGAACCGAGCTAAGACATGGAAATGCTGGGGGCGGGGGGGCTGTGTGGTTACAGAAATAGCTGAGGAACAAAACTACTGCAGGATGAAAATGAAGCAAGAATAATACCTAGCTCATTAGAGCCAAGCAAGATGCATGGGCGCGATCCAGCTTGAGGCAGAGGCAAATAGCTCACAGCTATTGAAGTGTTTTACAGGACTCAAGGATAAGGAGATTCTAAAAACATGAATTTCTTTAAAAATTAAGAAAAACGAAATATGTTAACTGAGGCCCTTCATGTGAGGCTTGTTTTCAGAGTATAAAACAGTGGAGGATTTGTTGTTATGCTGGCGCGAGTATTTCAGATGATCCTAACTCGGTTAGGATCTGGTGACTATTAATGGTCTTTAAAATAAATACTACGAATCTCCTTATGCAGTTAATTGCAATCTTAGAACGGTTTTCTTTGCTTTATATGGAGAGAAAAAAATGCAAAGCCTGTCCCCAAGTCAGCTATGGCGGGGATACGGCTTTAGGGGCTGGAACACCGGGTTTGTGCATGTCTCTCCTGGGGTGCGGGCAGCGTGTTGAGTTACCCCAGTAGCGATGTTTGCCAGGAGCGAGGTATCGGGGCTGTGAATCGTGGAAAAAACTATGATCCTGCTCTCCAGCCGCAGACAGAGGGGATGAGCCATCAATCTCATGCCTTTTTGTCCCCACAGCTGACTTCTGTTTTTTTGGTATTTTAGACCAAATTTGTTGCTTTCGATGGCCTGGTAGAGGGTGAAACAGTCGTCTGTTTTTCCTGCCTACAGTCGTCCTGCTGGGCATACCGGTTAGGCTTTTCGTGCGTTACCATGGGGATGTCGTCTGTTACTGCAGTTATTGGGAGCGTCGGTCCTCTGTTCATAACAATAATCAAATCATACGATCCCACACAGGCAGGAGGGGGATATTATTAAAAAGAAGGGCTGGGGAATGCTGCAGGTTCGCCGTTGCGCTGCGGGTGTGTTGCAGAAGCGCTGCAGGGCCGGCTGTGCTGGGGAGAGCAGGGCTGCCCTTGCTGGAGGAGCGAGCGTGGCTCAGCGGCCGCGCTCCCCTCGGCTGCTGCAGAGCAAACGAAACAACAAACGCGTTGCCACTGCTTATTTTTTTCTATTTAACACCCTATGCCTTTTCTCTTGTCTGGAGCTTCAGTTGTGCTAGGTATGGCGATGAACCTGCTTTTTGTCAGCAGAAAATAAGCAGGAAAGTAGCAAGAAAAT